ATTGTTCACTGACAATCTGGTGAATGAGTGGGCTTTTTATAGTAGTCTGTTTCCTGTTAGCTTTCCTGGAGCTCCTTCCGCCTCCTGGAACGCATCATGATTAGTGGGAGGGTCCCTCCATGCACTATTTATACGTTTCATTAGCCACGCCCCTGACAACGTCAATTGGATGATGAAACACATCGGGTGGAGCTTCGGCGTGTGACATCATCATGTTTTTTGGAGGACGGCGGCCATTTTCCTGGTTGGAAACTTGATTCAAATGCTGGTAACCATCCAATACAATGTACAAGCAACTTGTAATTACACAGGGTGATTTTAATACTTAAATACTACACTATGAGTGGTCTTTTTCTTTTTATTCCTTATCTAAATATTGGATGGGAATCTTCTTTTAGGACTGTTTTGTGGATAATTATATTATACTGTAGGGCACAGGTGAGTGGCACTGCTGGGCACAGGTTGGTGGCACTGATGGGCACAGGTAGGCACCACTGGTGGGTGGCACTGCTGGCCACTGATCATCAGTGCCCTGATGATTGGTGCTGATCCATCCTCTGACAATTGCTGGTTATCGGGAGTACTTTCCTCATGTTGTGACAGCGTGAGTGAAGTGCAGCTGATTACCGGCAAACTGCATTTACCGGTGATCTGCTGTGTCACTGGATACGGCTGATCACGTGCTAAAAGGGCTGCTGTGATTGGCCTTTTACCACATCACATGATCAGCTGTGTCCGTAGGACACAGCGATCACGGAGATCGCCAGGTGTGTGCCCCTGGGGCCACGTGGGAGGGCGCATTCTGGGAGGGCGTCATATGACGCCCTCCCAGAACTGGCTGGTCGCAGTGAAGCCGTCATTCGGCTATCTGTGGTCGGCAAGTGGTTAATATAAATACATCAAAATAAAAAAAAAACTAAAAATAATAAAATACACCAAAAAAAAAAATCCAAAGAAAAATATATTAACCAAGAAACTAATAATAATACCAAAAATAAATTAACTATTATTGATAAATGTATTTACATCCCACTCAATGTTAAGACCAAATGGGATATAAGAGTTAAGAGAATATATCCACATTATTTCCAATTTCGATATTTCACGTCTAACATGACTGCCCCTCCAATTAGCGACAAATTTATCGATAGCCAAGAAGAATGTGCCTTCCGGATTTTTATATTTTAACCCACACGGGCACCGTATAAGATATACCACATTTTTTGTGGAGCATGTGATAAATTGCCCTATGTCATAAGACCTAGAGGTACAGGTTGACTCAAACCTGGTAATCCTTCTAGACCTTTCCCTGTAGGAAATGTGGGGCATGCGACCTTAATGTCAATAGGTCTAGAAGGTTTACCAGGGTTTATTTTTTATTTTATATTTTTATATTTTTTATTTTTCATTTATTTATATATGGTGTATTGTAATAATGCTGCTGTAGTTCCTATTTTGCCCCACAAGATGGCCTCATCCCCCAGTGGTGACGTCACTGAATTACCATTATATATTTTATGTTTCTTACCCTTTAGAAATAGATGTTTTTGATTATTAAAAATATTTTAACAATATGGATGATTATCTTATGTTAAGGTTTGCCCTTATGTGGTATTTATATTTTGGATGTGCCCCATGGTTTGGTCCGTTTTTGTCCCCTCCTGTTGTTGGTATTGTTCACTGACAATCTGGTGAATGAGTGTGCTTTTTATAGTAGTCCGTTTCCTGTTAGGAGCTTTCCTGGAGCTCCTTCCACCTCCTGGAATACATCATGATTAGTGGGAGGGTCCCTCCATGCAGTATTTATAGACGTCACCACGTCTGATTAGCCACGCCCCTGATGACATCAATTGGATAACGAAACACGCCGAGTGGAACTTAGGCATGTGACGTCATCACATTTTTTGGAGGGACGGCGGCCATTTTCCTGGTTGGAAACTTGATTCAAATGCTGGTAACCATCCAATACAATGCACGAGTAACTTGTAATTACAAACAGGGTGATTTTATTACCTAAATACTACACTATGAGTGGTCTTTTTCTTTTATTCCTTATCTAAATATTGAATGGGAGTCTTCTTTTAGGACTGTTTTCAGATTTTTGAAAGGAGGATTGATATCTATGTGGATGAGGATTGCTGGTTCTATGATCTACACTTATTCATCTCCTATTTGAGATGCCTATATTGACAGACTGGTCAGAATTTCTGGTACGAGGCAGAACCATTCGGGTGTCCTGGTGATGGTGGATCGTGGGAATTGCATTTGGGACTTTTTAACTGGAACTTTTTTTGATTCATTGGACTTTATGTTTTTTTCATTAGCTCTGCAATTTTTATTTATTTACTGTTATGTTTATTGCCTGATGTGCGAGCTGCTTTTCTATGTAATTTTTTATTGTCACATGATTAGTATATTTACCCAAGCTCAGGTTACTTGTACAGGAAGGCTGCATTGTTTACACTGCAGCTCTCCTCCCTCTCAGTTTGAGCACACTGGTCCGGATCGGTGAGCACACCCCCCCCCGTCCCCTAGTAAAACACTACCCTCACCACACAGTTAACCCTTTGATTGCCTTCAAATGTTAACCCCTTCCTCCCCAGTACCATTAGTACAGTGTCAGTAGTTTTTTTTTTGCACTGATCACTTTATAGGTGTCACTGGGGATGTCAGTGACCCCAAGTCAGTTCACCCCTAGTAACAGAATTTCCGGCGCAGTCCCTCCATAAGTCACTGATCACCGCCATAAGTCACTGATTGCCGCCATAAGTCGATGATCGCCGCCATTATTGGTATTAGAAAAAAAAAATTCCAGTATACAGTATAAAGCACTTACACAGCACACTGTTAACCCTTTGATCGCCTCACATGTTAACCCCTTCCTGCCCAGTGCCATTAGTACAATGTCAGTGCTCTTTATTAGCACTGATCACTGTATTGGTGTCATTGGGGATGTCAGTGACACCAAATCAGTTCTGCTCAGTGTCAGAATGCCCCCTGCAGTCCTGCTATAAGTCACTGATCACTGCCATTACTAGTAAAAAAAAAAAAAAAATTCCAGTATCTATACTGCCATTTGTAAATGCTATAACGTTCACGTAAACCAATTAATTTACACGTATTTGGATTTTTTTTGGCAAAGATATGTCACAAAATACATTTTGGCCTAAATTTATGACGAAATTTGATTTTTAATTTTTTTACTGGATATGTTTAATAGCAAAAAGTCCAAAATATCGTTTTTTTTTTTTCAATATTGTCAGTCCTTTTTTTTTGTAGCACAAAAAATAAAAAAACGCACAGGCAATCAAATGCCACCTAAAGATAACTCAATTTGTGGGAAAAAAAGACGGAAATTTCATTTGGGTGCAGTGTTGCATGACTGCGCAATTGTCAGTTAAAGTAACGCAGCACCGTAACACAAACCGCTTCCTGAAAGCCCTATAGCAGAAATACTGCTACAGGGTGTCACGGGTGCGCAAAATCACATATATGTACGTGATTTGCACTCCCATGGTTTTCACGCCCCTCCCAGATAGCGTCAGATTGCCTGTCAGTACACCAGTAATTACATTTAACTCCTTGATTACCAGGAACACGCTCATAAACAATAAACCTCCATTGCTAGTATAGTGTCTGAACGGATCAATATCTTTGATCAGCTCAGCATTATACCCATGTCCACATTAGTATAGAGTCTCCAAAAATGCAGTGTTAGTGGGATCAGCCCCGGCACCTGCCAACACCTGCGCTTAGCCCCTACACTTACTTCCCCTTCTCCCCCAGCAAGTGCAGTGTCAGTAGGTCACTGTCACTTGATACATTGCACACAAAACCACAGTGTTCCCAGAATCAGGCCTGATCTCTATTGGCACTTGACGGTAAATTTTGATGACTCTCATAAGCAGCAGAGTAACAGTACTAGTGCCACGCTACCTTTTGATGAACTGGCAAGCACCAGCGGCCTAGTACATCCTGGTCTTTCATATACCAGCACTGCAGTATCATTTGGTGACGTGGCGAATCCCATAAGTGCAGTACACGCTGGTGCGGTTGCGAGCACAAGTATTGTCCCACAACCACTAAGAGTTTGCACACAGGCCCTTAGAGCCCCTAGTATCCTTCTGAATGTGCTTACAAATCCCGATTGGCAGCCCACAAATTCTGCAGCACCCGTACTTCCTTCATCCACTGCCCAACCCGGAATTCAGGCGGAAACAGCAAATTTAACTAACCCCCTTGATTTTTCTGAGCTGTTTTTCACGGAAGATCTGTATGCATTGATTGTGGATCAAAGCAATTTATATGCACAACAATTTATTGCCTCAAATCCAAATTAAAACCTTGCCAGACCATTCACATGGAAACCCACTACGGTACTGAATTAAATTTTTTTGGGCCTAACCCTCAACATGGGCATTACTAAAAAAATGAATTGCGGTTGCAGTGATCCACACACCAGATTCATCATATGCCCATGTTCTCTGCTGCCATGGCCAGGCATAGATATGAGAGTATAATATTTTATGCATTTCAACGACAATACACTTTATTGTCCTCGAGGGGACCCTGAATTTGACCGGCTCCACAAAATTCAGCCCCTCGTAAATCACATTAACCAAAAATATGCAGATGTCTATACTCCCCAGCAAAACATCTGCGTTAATGAGTCCCTTATTAATTTTTCTGGCCGCCTTGCATTCAAACAATTTCTCCCCAGCAAGCGTGCCAGATATGGGGTCAAGATGTCGAAGACCTGTGAGAGGACAACAGGCTATACATATCATCCTTTTTCCATATGTGGGGTACCACTTATACATGGACAATTTTTATTCAAGCGTGCCACTATTTAGACATTTGTACAATCTTGGAACTGGCGCCATGTGGCACCATGCAACCTAATTTGTGCCCACCAGCAGAAGTGGGTGGATGCAGGGCGGTATATTCTAATGGTGGGCATACTACACACTTTTTCTGGCTGAGATTTCTTCTCTTTGTTTTCATTCAGCCACCAGGCTGCATACATAGCATATATACACAGCATATATACACAACAAGGGCCAGCGACGTACTGGTACATCACTGGACTTTGAGCAGACTTTGAGTGGTTATACTAGGCATCATCCTGGTATAATTTTTTTCAGCCAGTGATTAGCTTTCATGTAAAAGCAATCCTAGAGGCTAATTACCTGCAGGATTGCTTTTACAAACAGCGGTACCACCCCACCCCCCCCACTGCCTTCCACGGCCTTCTCGGGCAGTCTTGTGCCATCGGGGGAACCTGAGAATGCAGCCGGTGTTTCTCCAGCTGATGATAGAGCTGATTGGAGACCGGAATGGCACCAATCATCTCTACAGTCTAAGAAATCGGAAGCTATGAGCATTTCACTTCAGTTTTGCAGGATATAAACAACACCATTTGTAAATTGGGAAAGCTTCTGATCACACCGATCTTGGTGATATCAGATGATGTCAGGGCAGAGGAGATATCTAGAGTCTAGTAGACCCCAGATTTCTCAAAAAGAATACCTGTCAATGCCCATTGCAGTCACAGGGGATATTTATAGTCCTGTGCTAGCAATAATAGTGATAAAAAAAAGTATATGAAAGGGACAGTGTAAAAATAATAAAAAAAGCAAAATAACTAAAAAAAGCAACCTCGCCCCCCAGAAAAAGTGTGTGGTATGCCCACCATTGGAATATACCGCCATGCATCCACCCACTCTTAATGGTGGGCACACATGAAATGATCGAACAGATTCCTCTAGTCACATCGATCGATGTGGATGAAGAAATCTCTGCCAAAAAAAAATGTAAGAAATATATGCCAAAGCATAAGGGACATTCATCCACTGGCCACCCCAGGCCCCCATGCTTGGGCATATATGCTCTTTTTGAACTGCAGATGAAAAATCTCATTCAACAGTGCTTCAGAATCAACACATCGGTGCCATAGGTGACTGGCATCCCTGCAAAGAAACCAGCAATGGTTAAAAATAAAAGAGTAACATTAAAACGACAACTATTTTTTTTTTTTTTTTTTTTTTTTTAATTTTTACATTTTTTTTTTACTGTTACTGTTTATTTTTTATGGGTTTTTTAATTTTTTTTTTTAACTTTAACCAGATTGTAGGGTCTCTCAAAATGCGGTAACCAGTTTCCTGACTACCTAACATCTTTCTAGACCCTGTGCAAATATGTGCCCTGAACTGTGCTGGGCTGTACCCTATAATAATAGTCCTCTAGTGTATGGCAGCGATGGAAGCAGTCTTTGAAGCAGAGACCAGGTTGGCCAGGACAGGAGGGACAAAAAAAGCAGGTGTCACTCCTAATTCTGTGTCTGCTACAGACACAACATCTTTTTTGGGGTGTCCTTTGGGTTGGGGTACCAGGAATTGCATAGGGAAAATGCTTCTCATGCAGCCGGCTAACTGCATCTGGGTTGGGGGTTTGGGCCAGAGCACCTTCTGAATACAAAAGTGCCATGATGATCTTTTCCTGGAATTTTAGGAAGGATTCACTATGCCCAGTTGCTTTGTAAAGCACAAAAACGTTATATAGAGCAAATTGAAATAAATAAACAGACATTTTTTTGTACCAGTGTCAGGCTTTTCAGAAAACTAAGTACGGCTTCATCATCTGGTCATTGATGTCCAGCCTCCCATGTTAAGGTTATAGTTGTGGACACAGAGGGGCTTCTCAACAGCACCAGCTGCCGTGGAAATTTGGATGGTAGTGTCTACGTGAATGGAAGACAGGATTATATTATTATTATTATTATTATACAGGATTTATATAGCACCAACAGTTTGCTCAGCACTTTACAATATAACGGGAGACAATACAGCAACAATACAGTTCAATACAAGAGGGATTTGAGGGCCCTGCTCCTTGGAGCTTACAATCTAGGAGGGAGGGGCTAGTGGTACAAAAGGTAGTACCTGTGGGGGATGGACTGGTTGGAAGAGTAGAAGATTCCAGTATTAGCTGAGGGCAGGATAGTCTTCCCTGAAGAGATAGGTTTTCAGAGATCGCCTAAAAGTGAGCAGAGCAGGCGATAGTCTGATAAATTGGGGTAGAGAGATCCAGAGGATGGGGGAAGCTTTGGAGAAGTCCTGGAGACGAGCATGGGAGGAGGAGACAAGGGAGCTAGAGAGTAGGTCTTGCGAGGAGCGGAGAGTACGGTTTGGGTGATATTTAGAGTCAAGATTGGTGAAGTAATTTGGGGCAGAGTTATAAATGGCTTTATACGTTATTGTCAGTGTTTTGAATTTTATCCGTTGGGCAACAGGAAGCCAGTGGAGGGATTGGCAGAGAGGGGTGGCAGATACAGAACAGTTAGTAAGGTGGAGGAGTCTGGCAGCAGCATTCATGATAGACTGAAGAGGGGATAGCCAGCGATGAGGTAGGCCAATGAGGAGGAAGTTACAATAAACAAGGCGAGACATAACAAGGGAGTGAATAAGTTGCTTAGTGGTTTCCGAGGTTAGGAACGGGTGTATCCTGGAGATGTTGCAGAGGTGAAGTCTACAAGATTTGGCCAGTGATTGGATTTGGGGCTGAAAGGACAGATGGCAGTCTAGGATTACACCTAGTACCCTGGCATGAGGGGAGGGACTGATGATAGTGTTATTGATCTTGATGGAGAAGTGGGGGGGGGGGGGGGGGGGGGGGCACGGTCTGGAGGGAATACTAAGAGCTCAGTTTTGGAAAGATTGAGTTTGAGGAAGTGGAATGACATTCATGCCGATATGTCACTTGGTAGGTTAGTAATGCGAGTGGAGACTGAAGGGGTGAGGTGAGGGGTAGAAAGATAGATTTATGTGTCATCAGCATAGAGATGGTACTTAAAGCCATGGGAGTTTATCAAGTGACCAAGGGAGGAGGTGTAGATGGAAAAGAGAAGGGGTCCAAGGACAGAACCTTGAGGGACCCCTACAGAAAGAGGGAGTGAAGAGGAGGAGGCAGCGTTATAGGTAACGCTGAAGGAGCGCTGCGATAGGTAGGAGGAGAACCAGGAGAGAGCAGAGTCTCTGAGGCCAAGAGAGTGGAGTTTTTTTTTGAGGAGGGGATGGTCAGCCGTATCAAAAGCTGCAGAGAGGTCAAGTAGAAAGAGTATGGAGTAGTAGCCATTGGTTTTAGCTGTTAGTAGATCATTAGTGAGTTTTAGTAGGGCAGTTTCAGTGGAGTGTAGTAAGCAAAAGCCAGACTGTAAAGGGTCAAGAAGGTTGTTGTCGGTGAGGTGGGAGCTCAGGTGATTGTAGACTAAGTGTTCTAGGAGTTTAGAGGTAAATGGCAGCAGGGAGATGGGTCTTAAGTTGTTCAGGTTGGTGGGGTCCAGGGAGGGCTTTTTAAGTATGGAAGTGATGTGTGCATGCTCTAGAGGGGAGGGAAGGCACCTGTAGAGAGGAAAAGATTGAAGATGTGAGTGAGGGAGCATAGGATGGAAGAAAAGGGTGACCGTAGTAGTTGTGAGGGGACAGGATCCAGGGGGCAGGTAGTGATATGGGCTTCTGAGAAAACCATAGTGACCTCTTTGGTAGTAGCAAGGTCAAAAGAGGAAAGTGTTGAGGGAGGTTTAGTATAAGGTATGCTAAGTGGGATGGATGTCTATGCAGTGGCGATGCACTATGAATTGCGTCAATCTTGTTTTTGAAATTATTAGCAATCTCATGAGCAGTGAGTGAGGTACCGGGTGGAGGTGGAGGTGGAGAAAGTAGGGAGTTAAAAGTAGAGAAGAGACAACGAGGACTGGATGACAAGGTTTTAATAAGAGTGACAAAGTAAGCTTGTTTGGCAGCATGAAGAGAGGACTTGTATGTTAAGAAAGCAGATTTATATAGGGTGAATGCTTGTTGAGATTTGGTTTTACTCTACAATCGCTCCAGCGTACGACTATGTCGTTTAAGATCTCTGGTGTCGTCAGTCTGCCAAGGTTGTAACGGTCGGGGCCTGATGCTTCGTGTTGTTAGAGGAGCAAGTGAGTCTAATGTGGATGAAAGTGAACTCTTATAGACAGCAGTGGCCAGGTCAGGACAAGACAGGGGAGAGATTCTGTCATAGAGTTGGTCAGTTGCAGAGCGGAAAGGAGCAGGGTTCAAGTTGTGAAGGTTTCTGCGGGTAATTGTTTGCTGCTTGGAGGGATAGGTGTTTGAAGATGAGGAGACTGTGAAGGTGATGAGATTGTGATCAGAGAGAGAAAAGGGGGTGTTTGTGAGGTTGTAGGGAGTGCAAAGATGGGAGAAAACAAGGTCTAATGTATTCCCATCAGAGTGACTGGAGGACTGTATACACTGTGCTAATGCAAAAGATGAGGTTATGTTGAAGAGTTGGGATGTAGCCGGGTTGTTGACATTAATAGGGATATTAAAATCTTCAAGAATAATAGTGGTTAGTTCAGAGGAGAGAAAGTAGGGTAGCCAGGCAGAGAAATCATCAAGAAAGCAGGACACGGGTCCAGGAGGCTGATAGATCACTGCAATCTTCAGAGAAATGGGAGAAAACAGCCGGATGCAGTGAGTCTCGAAAGAAGAGAAGGATAGAGAGGGAGGGTTAGAGAGGACTTGAAAGGTGCTCAGTGGGGATAGAAGCAAACCAACTCCACCACCTTTCCGACCACTGGGTCTGGGTGAGTGGGTCCAGATGAGGCCTCCATAGGAAAGTACTGCGGGGGAAGCAGAATCTGCTGCTTGGAGCCAGGTTTCTGTAATTGCTAGCAGGTTAAGGGAGTGGGTGACAAAGGTGAGCTTATTACAGACAGAGCGGGCATTCCAGAGCGCACATGAAAAAGGGAGGGTGATTTTTGGGAGCATGGGGATCGATATTAAATTGAGTGGATTGTGGCTATTCCCGGGAGAAAGAGGATGCCTGGTGTGTGGGGGTGAAATAGTGGAGGAGGACCAAGGTTTGGGGAGATATCCCCAGAGGTTAGGAGAAGAAGAAGGGTGAGGAAAGTAACATGGGAGTGGGATGTACACGAGCGCACATGCCTTCCAGTCCTGGTGTTTGGGTCAGCAGGAGAGTGAAGTATCAGCAGGAGGTGATGATAGCAGTAGTAGGGAGATGGTAGCAGTGAGGGTGAGATGAACAAGTTTTGGGGTAGAGCAGGGGGATAAAGAAGTGAGATTTTGGGAACGCAGGAAAGTAATATGAAAAGGAGGAGTAGACGGGACATATTAAAAGGTACACGGAGTGGCACTCAGACTTGTAAGAGATGTTTTCCAGGGTGTTTGCTTACAGTATATCCAGCATGCAGTAGAGTTTCTTGCTGTTGTTGTATCTTCTTGCTGCTTGAGTTATCCTGCTTTAGTTCCACCACTGTGTTTAACTGCTTCTTAGCACTCCATCAACGCAGCACTCATGCAAAAGCAGCACCCCATCAGTG